CTCAGTGGTGAAAGAACAGGATAGGGACTATTTAGAAAAGTTGGATGTGTACAAGTCCATCAGGCCAGATACAATGCATCTGAGGGTGCTGAGGGAGTTGGCTGAGGTGATTACAGAGCCACTGGCCATTATCATTGAAAAGTTGAAGCGTTCGGGGGATGTCCCAGATGATTGGAAGAGGGCAAATATAGTGCCTATCTTTAAGAGATGGCAGCAGGAGGATGCAGGGAACTACAACCAGTCAGTCTCATCTCAGTCCCCAGAAAAATCATGGAGCAGGTCCTCAAAGAATCCATTTCTAAGCATGGAAGAGAAGAAAGTACTTAGGAACAGTTAGCATGGTTTCACCAAGGGCAAGTGATGCCATGCCAATCTGATTGCCTTCTATGTTGAGATAATTGGCTCTGTGGATAGTGGGAAGGCAGTGGAAATAATACCTTGACTTCAGCAAGACTTTTGGTAGACTCTCCTACAGCATTCTTGCAAGCAAGCTGAGGAAGTATGGGTTGGATGAATGGACTGTAAGGTGGGTAGAAAGCTGGCTCAATGGGTAGTAATCAATGGCTCAATGTCTAGCTGGCAGTTGGTGTCACATGGAGTGCCTCAGGGGTTGGTCCTGGGGCTGGTTTTGTTCAGTAACTTAATTAACGACCTGGAAGATGCGTTGGATTGCACCCTCTGCAAGTTCACGGATGACACCAAGCTGCATGGTATAGTAGATGCATTAAAGGGTAGGGCTAGGATTCGGAGTGACCTAGACAAATTGGAGGATTGGGCCAAATGAAATCTCATGAGGTTCAACAAGGGCAAGTGCAAAGTCCTGCACTTAGGACGGAAGAATCCCATGCACCAGTACAGGCTGGGGGCTGACTGGCTGGGCAGCAGCTCTGTAGAAAAGGACCTTGGGTTGCAGTGGACAATAAGATGTATATGAGTCAGCAGTGCGCCCTTGTTGCCAATAAGGCTAACAGCATACTAAGCTACATTGGTAGACATGTTGCTAGCAAATCGAGGGAAGTAATTATTTGCTCTATTTTGCACTGGTGAGTCCACATCTGGAGTACTGTGTCCAGTTTCGGGCCCCGCACTATAGAAAGGATGTGGACAAGTTGGAGAGAGTTCAGTAGAGAGCAGTGAAAATGGTTTGGGGGCTGGGGCACATGACTTATGAGGAGAGACTGAGAGAAATGGGTTTATTTAGTCTGAACAGAGAAGATTGCGGGGGGGAGGAGGTTGGGATTTGATAGCAGCCTTTAACTACGTGAAGGTTGGTTCCAAAGTGGATGGAGCTAGACAGTTTTCAGTGGTGGTAGATGACAGAACAAGGAGCAATGGTCTGAAGTTGCAGCAAGGCAGGTTTAGGTTGGATATTAGGAAAAACATTCTCACTAGGAGGGTAGTGAAGCAATGGAACAGGTATCCAGAGAGGTAGTGGAATCTCCATCCTTGGAGGTTTGTAAGGCCTGGCTAGACAAAGCCCTGACTGGAACGATTTGGTTGGGGATGGTCCTGCTTTGAGCAGGGGTTTGGACTAGATGACCTCCTGAGGTCCTTTCCAACCCTGACTTTCTATGATTCGAATGTCAAGAAAGTTAGAAATCTGGAAAAGGGCCAATTTGGTCCCCATTTTCCAGAAGGGGAGGAAGGAGGACCTGGGAAGCTATGGGCCCATTAGTCTTACCTCGGTCCTGGGGAAGCTCTTTGAGAAAATTATCTAGGTGCATATCTGCAAGGGACCACTGGGGGAGATTATACTTAGGGGCAACCAACATGGGTTCATTAGGGGCAGGTCCTGTCAGTCCAACCTGGTTGCCTTTTACGATCAGGTCACCAAATCCTTAGATGCAGGTGTCGCGGTGGACACAGTCTTTCTGGACTTTTGGAAGGTCTTTGACACTGCCTCTCACCCCATTCTCATAAAACCATTAGGCAACTGTGTTGTCGATACCTACACAGTCAGGTGGGTCACAAATTGGCTGGAGGGTTGCACCCAGAGAGTTGTGGTGGATGGATCATTTTTGACCCGGAGGGATATGGGCAGTGAGGTCCCCCAGGGCTCAGTCCTCAGCCCGCACTGTTTAACATCATCAGCAACTTGGACGAGGGGGTGAAAAGCACCTTGTTCAGATTCGCAGATGACACTAAGATGAGGGGAGAGGTGGGCATGCTAGAAGGGAGGGACAGGTTGCAATTGAATCTGGACAGGTTACAGGGGTGAGCAGATGAGAGCAAGATGGGATTCAATACTGACAAGTGCAAGGTGCTGCACCTATGGAGAAAGAACCAGCAGCATACGTACAGGCGGGGAACTCCCTTCTCATCAGCACAGAGGCAGAAAAGGATCTTGGAGTCATTATAGACTCCAGGATGAACATGGGCCGCCAATGCAAGGATGCAGTCAGTAAGGCTAACTGCACCTTGCCATGCATCCACAGATGCACCTCAAGCAGGTCCAAGGAGGTGATCCTCTCCCTCTATGCAGCATTGGTCAGGCCGCAGTTGGAGTACTGCGTCCAGTTTTGGGCGCCGCACTTCAGGAGGGATGTGGACAGCATCGAGAGGGTCCAGAGGAGGGCCACTTGCATGATCAGGAGTCAGCAGGGCAGGCCCTACGAGGAGAGGCTACAGGACCTGAACCTGTTCAGCCTCCACAAGAGAAGGCTGAGAGGGGATCTGGTGGCTGTCTGTAAACTTACCAGGGGAGACCAGTGGGGAATGGGTGAGACTCTGTTCCCCCAAGCACTACCAGGAGTAACTAGGAATAACGGCCACAAGTTGACTGAGAGTAGGTTCAGGCCAGACATCAGGAAGCGCTACTTTGCAATCAGGGTGACTAAGATCTGGAACCAACTTCCAAGGGAAGTGGTGCTCGCTCCTACCTTGCAGGTCTTCAAAAGGAGGATAATCCCCTATCCAGGGTCGTTTGACCGCAGCATTCTTTCCTGCCCATGGCAGGGGGTCGGACTTGATGATATGCTCAGGTCCCTTCCGACCCTACTGACTATGAAACTGAAATCCCAGTGCTTGAGTTATTTCTCTGTGTGGGGCAGATGTTTTCTTAGACTCTTAGTACCACAACTGAAATGCTTTCTGCCTTTCATTGTAAGTATATCAATAAATACAAATGTTAAAATAATATCCGAAAAGGAAAAAAGGACATTATATTGTCTCTATACTGAACACAGGGCATTAAGCAATCTGCTCTGACCAGTCCATGTGTTTTAGCAAATTTGACGTAGCAATTACCCAGGCAAATTTGACTTAGCAATTACCCAGGCAAATTAGTATGAATTAGGTTGTAGGTCCTGGCTCTTAATAATATGGAACATAAAACATAAGAATGTTTTCTTATATTTGGAGCTATTATCTTGCTTAGTTCTGTTTATGTAAGGAGCTCCATTCAGTAAGTGGAAGTAATCATGTAAGTAAGATAAGCAAGATTTGACCCTAAATCATTCAGGGTTCCAGAATGATGATTTCAGCTAGTGCATTTTCTCTCTTACACGAGTGACATGCATCATGTCCAGCCTTGCGGGTCTAGGTACATTTACTTATGGTCTCCAGCAACTGGATGCTTTGGATTTGAAGGCTTACCCCATGGGGTTCCACACACTAAGAAAATGAATACCTGTCATATGTTCTGACTATACTTTTGGGCCTTAATATTTAGTTCACGGGGACTTCAGCTCTCAAGAAACAGGCATGTTTTTGCTGAAGAAATATTTATACATTTTAACTTTTAACTGGTGAATACAATAGCTTGTATGCTTGTATTTGTTGACAAAATAGGGATGGTATAACACTTAGAGCTGAGTATTTCAGTTTCAAAATATTGGGAGGTATCCAAGCATGCTAGACTTCCTCTTTGCTACTGTTGATTGTGGCTTTGGACCCTTATTCACTGGTGGAGAGAAAGTTTTGAAACAGTGAGGAGGTAAAGATTTGACCACATACACATCAACTTTTTTTTCTTAACATAAAGTATGCATATAAACACAGGAGCATCTTAGTTGCTGGATCTCCAGTACAATTTTTTTTGCTTTTGCTCCTTGAATTATTTTTATTGCTTTGATTTGATTTCACATTTTTCAAATACAATGACTAGTGCTACAAAAGGGTTACTAATGCCAATAATAAAGGCAAACAATTCTGTTAAATATATACAGAACATTTAACTATGTTTATGATTAGATTTGATTCCTGATCTGTTGTACTGACTTTTTTATTTTTGGTGTTTCATATATATCTCTGTTGTTAAGTATATATTTTGGAGAGAAATAAGACTATCACTTTCTTTTCTAGACCCAATGTGTGTGGATCACGTTACAATGCCTACTGTTGTCCTGGATGGAAAACTCTGCCTGGTGGAAATCAATGCATAGTCCGTAAGTTATCACAGATAAATATTATGTCTTGGACTTGTTTTGTCATTGTGTGCTGCAAGTATGTGCCATGACTGTACAGAATTGAATACATTGGTAGTATTATATACATCTTTTGTTTGCCATTTTAATAGATGTAACTTTATACATAAGGTCCCTGAACTACAAAACACCAGTGATAGGATGCTAAGGGAGTTCAGCATGGGTAGATCTAGGATTTTGAAAAGGGGGGTACAGATGGTATGGTGCATCATCCCATATAACACAACTAGGGCTGTTAAACGATTAAAAAAATATTGTGACTAGTTGCACAATTAAAACAATTAGCCACAGTTAATCGCAATTTTAAACACACAGCTAAAATCTAAAAAATGATGCGCAGAAAAACTCAAAATTATGTAGGTACTTTGTATGGTTGGGGGTGGGTGTGGAATGTGTGGGGGAATTTTTGAAGATTTTGGGGGCTGTGAGTATGTGTGTGGAGTTTGGATCCTGTGGGGTGGGGGTCCCCACGTACCCTGACATGATGCAGGGGTACTGTGGGTCAGGAGTGAGGGGCAGCAGCAGGGTTGGGGAGGCTGTGGCTTGAGAGTGAGGGGCAGACACATACACAGACAGCATTGTGCTGGTAAGTCTGTACAGGAGGAGGGGCAGATTGAGGCCCCCATGGTGAGGGAGGGAGTGGGGCAGGGGCAGGTGCTGGGGTGAATTGGATCTGGGGCTGGGGTGGGCCATGGGATGGAACTGCAGGTGGCTCATCCAGGGTTCCAGGGGGGTTGCTTCCCCACCACTGTGTGCACACCCAGGGGCGGAATGGGGGCACGTGCCCTCCAAATTTGTGTGTGCTGCAGAGACAGGCTGCCCACTGCAGACTGGGGCTCTGCACCCTGTTGCCTTTGCCCTGGGAGCTGCTCAATGCCATGTTGTACCTCCCGCTGCTGGGCGGGCAGGGGATGCATCAGCATGTGGCTCCTGGGGCAAAGGCATCAGGGCGCAGAGCCCCAACCTGCAGTGGACAGCCCACCTCTGCTTTGCACACAAATCCAAGGGGCATGTCCCCTCCATGCCTGCTCTGGAGTGCGCATAGTGGTGGGGAGCCGGACCCCCCCTCCTGCGCTTCTGGATAAGCCTCCCGCAGCTCCGTCCCACAACCTGTCTCAGCCCTGGAGCCCCATCGTTTGAGTTGGTGGTAAATCTCATGAGCCCAGGGGTGTGTGGGGTTTTGTATGATACTTTTTGTATATTTATGAGGTTTTACATGCATTTTTATTTTATTTGTAGCAATTTGTCGACATTCCTGTGGGGATGGATTTTGTTCAAGACCAAACATGTGCACATGTCCAAATGGTCAGATAGCCCCCTCCTGTGGTTCAAAGTCAAGTAAGTTTGCTCCTGAACCCCTTATACTTCTGTTTGCAGACTGTCAAGCTATTTGGGTGCCGTATGTTAGTTCAGCAGCCGGTATTTAAAACAACTTACCTCTGTGTCACCAGACAGACTTAACCAGAGGAAAGAAAACCTGTCTTCTGTGATGAAAACTGAAGAGTTACGTAGAAGCCAGTCATTTAGACATTCCTTTTTGCCAAACTAAAACCAATTTAGTTGTACTGGAAACTATATTTACTTACCAGTTCTTAAACTAATTCTAGTTTGCCTTTACTTTCTAGTAAATCTCTCTAAAGTATTTGACACTAGTGCTTTGTATGCATGTACAACATTGCCTGATGTCTGCAATGGTTTCTCTAGCATCTTGCAAAGTCTACTTACATGTGTAATGCCACCAAAGTCATAGGGAGCAGTGAGGCAGATTGTATGTTCACATACCTAGACAATCTCATTGATTTCAAAGGACTTAAGCAGGAGTAATTGACAGCAGAATTTGGGTTTTCATTTCAGCAATCAGGTGCAGTGTCCGTGTTTTATGCCTGATGTTTTTGTGAATCTTAAGCCCCTGGTGCATGTTCATTTAAAGGTACCATGGGGTCTGATCCCCATCCCAACAATTGTGCCTCTTGCCATGCCACATGTCCATGGGACTGTGCCCTTTCTATATGCCGGTGACAGGGCAAGTGAAAGCCAGGTGCTTGCAAGTTTGGGGCCGACGTTGCCAATCAGTTGATTTTTCAGCCTGGACCTGCCACGTTCAGTTTAAGGCACCATACAAACCAGCCATAAAATTGCCTAAACTTGGGTGCACTTGCCATTTATGTTGTGATTAAAACATTAATCATGACATAAATGCAATGTGTAGAGGAGGCCTTACCCAGGTAAAACTTTCACTGCCACAAATAGAGTTGATGAAAAATTCTTGGATGAAATGTTTTATTACCAGAAAATCCTGATTAATTGAAACTAAAAGTTTTGAGAGGAATATATTGGTTTTGATAAAACTCTTGTCAGACTAAGGTAGACTGGCCAAAATGAAAGAGAAAGAGGTTCATCTCTGAATCCTAGTAGCCTAGTGATTGTGACACTCATTGAGATATAGGAAACTTCAGGACCTTGGTCTGCTCAATTCAGAACTGGACTGTCCCATATCTTAAGTAAGTGGGACATAATCACTGAGCTATTTCTGGTTGTGTGAGGTGTATGGATCTCAAACAGTGTTGAAAGGTGTTGGTTTTGTCCCGGTGTGGAACGGAGAATTTATTTTAAATCTTGAAAAATTTTAAAGGATGAGAAAAATGTTCTCACCAAGCTCTAGTCAGAAGTTTTTAAACAGTGTATTAATAGGAGTTGAAGGTAGATATACCTGGTTAAAAGTTTGCAACGTTATTTTACCTGTTTTGTAATCCATGGAGTCTCCCATTTTTTAAATCTCTCTTCAGGACTTATTGCAATAGCAGATGTTCAGATTGGTATCTCTCTTTTACCTCTCTCTCTTTTTGCTTTCATAGTGTTAGGAATTAACTAAGCATTTAGGTTTGTGATTTTAACATCTCTTTCATGCAGCAGCAGTGAAAGAAAAAGCATAGAAAGTAAGGGAGCGGTGTGTACTATAATAACAAATGTTACTCTTCATGGACTGAGCTTCCAAATCCTTACCTCTGCCTGTTAGGCAGACTCCTGCACTGGTAGCAGTATGGAGCAACACTTCCCCCCTGCTTTTGAGGTGCCCACTGTGGAGGGAATGGGCTTGTTAACACATCCCTGTATATGGTCCCAATTTTCTGAGCTAGTGCAAAGCAGCTTTGTCTCTTTCCAGCCCCTTTAGAGTGCACAGAAAAAGCACTCCCTTTATATGAGGCATGTTCCTGTGTGTTTGTCAGAACCAAGCAGTATCTTGTCTTTGATATTCATGGAGTGCTTACTCTGGCAACTTGACTTTTCTGCACAACCCCCCAAGTGCTGACTGAGGACTGCATGCATTTGTGCGTGTGTGTAACATTTTAGAAAGAAAGTTTGTTTGACCTAGTGCTGTTTGGGGTGGGTGAGGAACAAGTCTGTAGGTGCTGTGTTCTGGTTCTGTGCATTCGCAACCCTGTGCTCTCAGCCATGTGCTGAAGTTAAAAAGCAGGTTCAAGTATATTGAGGCAGAGGTGTCATTATTAATGACACAAGCAGGAAAACAAAGGCTAACCCTAAGGAGTGATACTTATCCAAGATGGTTATTGTGGCTCTCCTGGTTTAATTCAGCCTTAGAAGGCTGAAATGCAGCTGAAAAGATTACTCAGTAGTTTCCTTGGCATAGAAGTTTTAACATTGATGAACTTGCTGGTTGGCTAGAAATTACCTTTTGGTTCTTGCAGTTACAGTAGCATAGCTAGGGTGGGAGTGGGCAAGGGGAGCAGTAGCCCTGGATGCTCATTTAGAGTGGGTGCTCACATGATGGCAGCAGTCGACAAGGTGCAGTGATTCTGTGGGGTGGCAGTATCAAGTGTGGTATAGGTAGCTGGTGCTGCAGCAGCTCAGCATCCACCCTTCCCCCATACTCTCTGATGCTTGGCACTCCCCACCTCTCCAGCTCAGAGCACCAAACATGCTAGCTATGCCTCTGAGTTGATGAATATCAGGATTTGCCTACCCTTCAGTTGGAGGTGTGAGTATAACGTGTGGATCTACCCAAACTGGCTCAAATACAAGTTGCTGAAAGCCATGGTAAGCTAGCTGTCCAAGATGGATTTATGCAAAGAGAGTTTGCTGTGGATGCACTTGTTATTGTAACTCAAATTAGCTGGAGTAAAGTTGGCTCATAGGTGTCAATATATACTACAATTGTACTGCTTTTTACAGTACAGACTGTGCATGCTCCTGGGCTCCTGCCCCTCAGTGATCAGCAGGAAGCCTGGAGAAATAAATCTCCTTGCCAGGCTTGGTGTCATTGCATTGGCCAGATTCTGACAGCAGGCACCTACAGGCAAATGAGCTTAACAAGTGAAGGCCTCTTGCTTTTGTCCAGTTTTGAAGATAGTGGCCTGGCTAATTCTTCTTCCTGGCACCTCCTCCTGAGGAGTCTCTTTGTGAATCAAAAAGGAGTATCCCTTTCATGACCCAAAAATAATTTTAAAAAGTACAAAGCTAGGAAAAAGAACTCTAGCAGCCTTTGGATCAGGACTAGCCTTCTGGGGTCTTATTCCATCCTGTTGCTTTAAAACATCTTACTACGAGAACTGTCAAAGCACACCCCTTTCTTTTTCAAACTACCGTCATGGATGTTCTGAGGCCTTAAGAGCTGATTATTTTCAGTGCTCTTAGGCTATCACAGTTTTTTACCTCTCCCCACCTTAACATGCTATGGGGCAAAGCACATCTGCTCTGTTTCAGTGAGTGCAGATCCTTGGCTTAGTGTCTGGCCCTTAAATGAGATCTTCATTTGGTCACTCTACAAAGAAAAAGTGCCTAGAATGTACACGTCTGTTGCATTAGATGCTATGAAGTTATAATAATAGTAATTAGTAGGGGTGCACCGATGCAGATTTTTTGGGCCAATACTGAGGGCCAATTTTTAAGGAGCCATATCAGCTGATACCAGTCTGATTCTGATATGCAGCTGGGCAGCTTGGAGACCAGTGTCGGGCTGGTAAGTCTGGTGTGGGGGAAGGGGGGGGACAGATCGAGGCCTCCATGGTGATGGAGCTTTTTGTGGCTTGTGGCTCTGTCTCATACCCCACCCAGCCTCGGCTGAGCAGCACCTGCCCCAGCCCCACTCCCTCCTTCACCCCGGTGGCCTCAATCTG